AAAACATTTCCAAAAGCTGCTGGGTTCTTTAAAAGTCTTTAGTTCGTCCAGAGTCGAAAACACTTTAGCAGGAAAAGGTCTCGCTAAATGCTGGAAATGCTATGTGCAGGTACAACTATATGAGAAATTCAGCTTTAAGCCCATTCTCACTTTCAATGTGTCAAATACTGATATTTTATCAAAGTGTCTTTTCAATCATGACAAAAAAAGGTTACGGACAGGAAGAGATCGGCCTTTTAAACTTTCTAGTTTAAACTTTCTAGTGCTTCTGTTGTTTTTAAATCCTTTTCTTCTCAGAGCATATTCCACCTCTCTTCCCCCGGTCCCTGCTCTCGCTACGGATGATAATGTAGTCTGGAAACATCTGCCCTCATACATCTGTTCTCTTCTCTGTAGTTCTAAATCAGCAAACATCACATCTGTAGCGCTCTCTCTCTCAATGAAGCCATACTGCTGCCCACTGATTGTCACCTCTCTTCTTAACCTAATTTTAACAACTCTTTCCCATACCTTCATTGTTTGGCTCATCAGCTTTAGCCATTGGAAGCACCCACGGCGCTGCCAAAAAGCAAAAAAAAGAAAAGAATAAAACTCACCTTTTCATGACCACTGCTGAACTTTTATTTCAGCTGTTCAGAAACATTGTAAAGGAGAATATGCTGATCGCTGGGCTGATAAAAGCTCCAGACTGATAGACGGCTGATAGAAGCGCTTCAAGAGTGTCTCGATTGTTTAAAGCAAATCACCTCCGATTTTTTTCTACCTTCTCACATCCTGCTGTCAAATGCCAAGGCCTTCAAAGACTCACTTGTTTGCTCACTGAGCGCTTGGTTCCTGTCCTACCTCCCTATTCCTTGTTTGACCTCTCTATCATAGCTGCCTTCCTTCCTGTTTTCTCTCCTGTTAACCTTTAGTAAAATTCTTTGACAGATAGGGACAGGTGAACAGATTCAATTATGAATTCAGCAAATTGAGTTTTTTTAAACAGTGGCAGATTTCCAAACTATATTAAAATAGATTTTACTGAAATGATTTGTTTGAAGGATCTGTCTTCAGGGTGTTTTTGACATAGATTGGACATAAAATCTCGGATCCAGATCGTCTAATATAGGGAACAGAAAAATGATTTTGTGTAACCATCTGATTAACAACCATAGTTAGGCATTCTCTAGTATTGTAACTCCCGTGAAATCATTTGCTCTGTTTAATCCATGAAATTGTCAGGGTTTTGTGTTTTCTGTTTTAAGTTCCTGTGATTTTTGTCGTTTTGTGTGAATTTTGTATTAAGTTCTCTTTGTTAGTCTATAGTTTATTTCTACAGGGTCTAGTTTCTTGTGGTCCCGGTTTAGTTCCCCGATGGTTTAATCATTTCCCTATAGCTGACCCCTGTGTCTTCCTCTGTGTGTTTAAGTTTATACACTGATGTGAGTTCTTGTGCCTTGTGTCCGCTTCTTACGTTCCGTGTTTCCCTCCTCCCGTCATGTCTGTGTTTCCTCTCGTGCCCCTCCCTGCTCTCTCTCCCACTCACCCTTTCTCCCACTCACCCTCCAGTCTGTCTCCGTGTCCTCCCCGTTTTGTCACGTGTGTAATTGCCCTCAGCTGTGTCTCCCAGCTGTTCCCTGTTCTCCTTGTGTATGTGTTTGTGCTCACCTCCGTTCATTGTCGCGTCGTCCCCTCACTGTGTTTCCTCTGCACTCCTAGTTCCCTGTGTTCCCAGTGTAGCTCTCTCTCGTGTCTCTGGTTTTTGATTTGAGTTTCTTGTTTACGGCTTGTGTTT